CCCCCCCCCCCCCGGGGCATGAAACATGAAATTTACGCGAGGGTTCAAGGCTTCAATGATGAGCATCACGGGAAGTCAGAAACCAGGCGTATCAGATACACGTGCCTTTGAGCTTCCTTCGGCATCTCAGTGCATATGGCTGACACTTCACTCGACAAAGATGCTCAAACAAACATACATAAACCAGGTGTATCTGATACGCCTGGTTTGTGACTTCCCGTGATGCTCATGATGCTGCGTTGCTTTTCTTCAGTCCCTCATTACATATACATGACGATCCAACAGCAGATTCAACAAGCTCACATGTTCATGACATCGACATCGATAGAAGAAACCAAACAAATCATGCAAGCAGCTTTGTTTTGCCTCTGGGACACCTCTTGGGCACCTCTTATGGCATCCACACTGGTTTAACTCCTCCGTGGAGGTTTTGGGATACGGTGCAACAGATTCAACAAGCTCACAGGTTCGTGAACACATCGGATGCATCGAACAGTGTGGCAAAGTCCAGCCACGCTTCCTTAATTATCGGGGACTTCAATTCTAAGGTTGGCTGTGTCACCGCCGTTTGTGTGTCTTACATGTTCACAACGTTTTACCTCATGAGCATTTGCCTCACTCCGCTTGATGTCCCACCAGTCCGGATGCACCCCTGCTAGCTTTCGTCACCTACCCTCGGCCTCAAGTATGATATTGATGTCAGCTGCCGTCATCGTCCTCCTCCTCCACCTCGTCCTCAACCGCGAGTTCTGGCTGGCAGTGTTCCTCGCCGGACCTCAACCGCAAGTGCAGGATGGCAGTGTTCCCTGCCAGACCTCCAAGGCGAGGTCCGCTTGGCAGTGTTCCCCGCCGGATGGACCTCAACCGTGAGTCCATGTGGCAGTGTCCCCCGCCGGACCTCAACCGCGAGCTTCGGCTGGCAGCGTTCCCTGCCGGACATCAAGCGCGAGTTCCGCTTGGCAGTGTTCCTCGCCGGACCTCAACCGCAAGTGCCAGAGCACTGAGGGCCGGACATCAGCGCACAACACAGAACCACACAACATGACCACAAACACACAATACACAATACACAACCACAAACAGACAAGCCCGCAAGCACAACCACAAACAATCACAATCACAAACAGAACCACGAACACACAAACACAACCACAAGCACACAACCACAAACACACAACCACAAGCACACAAACACAAACACAACCACAAACATAAAGTCAAAAACACACAACCACACACACAACTACAAGCAGGCAATCACAAACACCCATGCACAAACACAACTGCAAACGCACAGCCACAAACGCACAATCAAGAACACATAGCCACAAACACAGCCACAAACACACAATCACAAACACAATCAGAAACACACAGCCACAAGCTCACAACCAACTGGAGACCCTGGCGACAGGGTAGCACTTTTGGATGCCAACCGGAGACCCTGGCGACACCCCGAGGCGAACTTCTTTGCATTAAAATACAACCCCCAAACCCGAGGACCCACAAACAAAATCCAAAACCACAAAGCCCACGAACAAGATTAACAAGATGCTCCTCACCTTGGATGAAAACAATTACTGTAATTGAAATGTCATGGTGGCGACCATTCGATATAAAGTATAATTGTATTTTTCAGATGGGGCTGCGGGAACAAATTTTAAATGTTTTTTGTTTACCAGATCTTTGCTTGTCCAGATGGAACAACCGTGTCAGCCTTGAGGAGTGGTACTACTGGAATAGTGCCAGAAAGGACTGCGGGCGGGAACTGTACATGACTCCAGGTGTGGAGTAGATAACTCGAGCTGCAAGAATAGGAGAAGTCGTGTGACATGCAGTTTCAACAACCAGAGGTGGGTGAATAGGTTTCAAGATGATTCAACTAGACAATTAACAACATACATATACATACACATATATATATATATGTTTATTACATATTTGTATAATTCATGCATATTTGGATTTAACATTCAACTCAATGACCATCCATACGTGGGTCAGTCATTCCCAGGTTCCACGTGAAACGAGTGCAAGTTCTTGATCAAAAGACCTTTTAAACCAGCCGCATAAAGAAAACTTGGACAGAACACATCAAAAAACACAAAAATTGTCCATTGACTCAGCTGGTGCCGGTGGGTAGAGTTGGCTGTTGATGGTTGATGGTTTGGGTTTGGGCGAGGTGGATTCCTAGCACTCGCAGATGCACGTCTTTAACACCAAAACAGTGGTATGGACCTGAAAAGCAGGAAAACCTTCTAGCCAATCACAGGAACACCCTTTACGGGGTCGCTGCGCATGTATTCCTTGGTGATATAATACGTATATCCAGGCCTAAAACAGTGAAGGGAGGATCGATGAAACTTTAGTCTACCTAGGCCCCCAGGTCAGGCATGAGGCTGAAAACAGGCAAAGCGCCTCTGTCGGTCGTGGCTTTGGCGGGTCCCAGATTTGCATCGAGAAACAGCTAGCAGGTCTTGAGATAACATGAGATAACGAGGTGTGGTGATGGAGTCGATTTAGCTACAAACGACATGTTTGACGTGGTGTTTGTTATAGATAGTAAATGGACAACCATTTAGCATCTATCGCTAAAATCCCCAAAGCTTGGCCACACGCAGAGGAGGCACAATGGGTGCGGCCCATCGAGGTGTCGGAGGCTCCATTGCCCAAGGCCGCCATGAGGGCCCGCGTGGGCGGGATGGAGGTTTTTTTTGTTTCTTTTTGGAAAAAGCAAAAGGCAAAAACCAATCGATCGAAGACATCACGCGAGGGACCTCCGTTTGTGCGTTGCTCTTGGGGTTCGTGCAGCCGCGTGAAGCGCTTCGTAGAAACGAAACAACGTTGACGTCTGAAGACTTCAGGTAAGTGAGCTTGATGATTGTTTCTTGGAAAAAGTTCTTGGGGCAAGCGGCGGTCCAAAGTGGCAAACCATGGCAAAACCATGAAGCCGCACATTTAGTTTTCAGGGAAACAAACACTTAACAAACACTACATAGTTTTACATACTGCATATGTTGAACCATGTTGCTGGGAATCCAAACAACAAAAAAGAAAAACACATGCGTAGGGTTTGATCGGCCCCCACACTTTGAATCCCACGGTTGCTGGTGGCCCGAAAAGGGTGAGCAACGTGTCCTGCGCGTTGACGGCTGGGTGTTCGACCAGGAGCTGCAAGGCGACCAGAAGCTATAAAGAAGGAGTTCAAAGCGCGCAAAGCAGTGGTTTTTCAAATCCTAAGTGAGTGGTTAATGGGTACCACTATCCTCCAGGCACCACCCCCTTTGGAACGTTTGGCGAGCAAAACGACATCCCTCAAGAAGCATAAACATTTCGATGCCGATGGGTACTAACTGGACAACAACGGCATGGGCTGCGGGGACATTTCCGCCAAGAGTCCCTCATCGCCCAAAAGGTGACCCCCAAGATCGCTGCAGGTCCGTGTTTATCTCAAGGGGTGAGAAATGGAACTTCAAGGGGTTTATCTCAAGGGTAATTCTCCCCATCAAATTGAACCATTAACTCATTGACTGCCGCCACCGCCACAGGGCTGGGAGAAGGTCTTTGATGTCCAGCGAGGCCGCGAGCTGCGCGGCTGGCGAGCTGCGCCGCGGGCCATGTCGTCGGTCCATCCACCGATCCAGAGATGGGGTTAGGTCTGAGCTGAGGACGTAGGGTTCTACGTAGCCAAGCCGTAGGGTTCAGCCAAGGATGATAACACCACGCTCAGATGGATTTAGTAGTTCTCAAGGGTGCCGAGATCGAGACGCGATGTTAGACTCATGGCGAAACTATAATCATATACCGCCGAACGAAGCATACATTGGAACACGCTACTGCTTTTAGATGCTTTTAGTCTTCACACCGCGCGAAGAATGAAGCACACCTCGGAAGCACCTCCCAAAGTCAGACATCCTGGCCCAGGAACCTCAAAAAGACACACCCACACCATACCGCCAATCGTGGAACAAGCTTCGAGCAATGAATCGTATTTGTCCCAGATTTCCCTGCTCAGTTCCCCCATCAATCACCGGTCGCCTGGTGACAGGGCAATGGGCGATTGACCGATTTGGGGCGCCTGGACAATTCGGATCATGGTGGTATTGGTTGAAGCTTTCGCATCCCAGACCAAGACGGAAGCTCAGCAAGACAGGAGCGATTTCAGAACTCCAAGGACGATTTGGAATGCACCAGCTTGCACCCTTCGGTCATCCAACACGGCTGTCTCTTGAAACCAGGTGTTTGGTGCTTGTGCCCTGATGAGCCCTGATTCGCAGTGGACCAGTGCGTCCATCTCGCAGGTGATCAAATGAAAGGACAGTTTCTTTTGCGTCATTCGACCCCCAAAGGCTTTCTCCGCTCGGCCAAGCCTTGTCACGAGAGCATCCGGACGGCCTCACAAGGCCAACACTACTATTGGCACGCGGCTTTGAAGAAGTCCACCTGGGAGAGACCAGAGGCGACGCTGTGGCCTCCGCTGGGGAGGGGAGGGGAAGGATGTGTTTTTTTGTGTGTTTTCGGGTTTTCGATGGGTCAGGCACACAAAAGCACGAACACAGACATCGGAACAAGCGAACAATCGAAGATACAATCCTGAGCACAGAAGTCAGTCCTAGATATTCACCGGATCAAACAAACATGAAAACCAACAACAACAAACAACCAAAGAAGAGACACGGGTGCCAACAATCAAGCATCCTGGTTTGTTTGATTGATTGCTTGTTCTGTTGCTTGAATCAAGCAACAGAACAAGCAATCAATCAAACAAGAAAGGATGTTTATATTGTTTTGTTTTTTTCTGCGCTCGACTCCAAAAGATCGTTTGAAAAGCACGGGTTAAGATGAGATGACGAAAGGGATCCATCCAGGAGGGTTTCAGAGGCTTTCGGAACTGTTCAAACAGTTCAGTCACGGAGGGTTGAGGAACAGTACGAACAGTACGCCGAACGTCCGCCACGTTCTTAGAACGGTACTGTTTTGCATGAATGAGAACTGACTTTAGGTGATAAATTTGGATGTTTTTGTGTTTGTTCCCTTTGTGCACATGGGTATCCCCAAAAGTGGTGGTAGGATGTGGTAGGCAGACCAGGGCAGATAACACAGACGTTGCACTTCCAGTTGCTTCTCCCGGATAACGACTGGAACTATAGCACTCGTTTCCTGAAATGAAAGCTCGAGTAGAGAGTTGACCAAAGAACACCTTCAAAAGAATTCAAAAGATTATGTTTTCTTTTTGTCCCGTCAGATGACATCACCACAGTGCCATTGTAGTCCAAGGATCTATAAATTCTTAGAAACTCATTTGTTCAACATCCGTCGTTTGAGTTTGGTCATTGCACTGGGAGAGGGCATTTGTTCGGAGTCTGCAGGTCAGACCTCAGACTTGGAGAGGGCTCCAAGAAAGGTTCACCTGAGGATCTTGTATTGACACTGTTCTCAAAAGTTGTCCCACTTCTCCACCAGCACCGACGGAATACCAACGGATCTCCTCTTTCCTGGTGTTCTTTGGAGCCGGAGGTCTCAATTGGTGACCTGAGGCGCCGCTAGTCCTTGATTCCTTCCGACCCGGCTTGGAACTTCGTTCGGGCCGTGAAGTTCCCACGAGGCATCTGCGCGCATGCAGGGCAAGGCCTGAGACAGGAAGATATGGGAGAAGTCAAAAAGAGTCAAAGGGTCTGGAGCAGGATGCATGGAAGATGTTGCAAAGTAAGAATATCACACCTGACCTGGATGTGCATTTTCTCCATGTTCAAACCTGGATGAACTTCAAGCCAAAGGGCCAGCGCCGAGAATCAAGATGTGGCGTAGGTATCTTTGATGCATAGACATAGGCATGCGTAGCCGTCGCAGGTTCAGCGTATTTGTGTGTTCTCATGAATCCACAAAGGATTGGTTTGATCTGTGAGTTTTGAATTGAAGTTATTTGTTTTATGACCCACACCAGCTCAGTGGTACTCCCGACTGCAATAAACAGTGGATGTACTCAACAACCATTCTGCATATATATATATATATACACATTCATAATCATTCATATGTATATATATATATGCATAGCAAGCATCAAGCATCCCGGAATGGTGATTCACACCCTCCAACTTGTTTGTTAAATGTGTTCCATAGCTTGTTACAGTCATACAATGTATATGTTTAAACACATTAACACACATAGGCATGTGCGGCATGTACGCTATTTGGGTTTAAGATGCGAACCTCCACTGGTCAATGAACCCACGACTTCAGACAGGCCGATCTGCCGCTGCAGGTCGTTGAGTGGAATGGAGTCTTTGGCTGGCTCCAAGGGGATGGCCACAGCGAGAAGACGCATGGCGAGAGGAGGTTCACCGGGAGGAAGTTCCGTTCCGCGTGCTCGGTGGATCTCTTTCCGAAGAAGTAGACTTTGCATCAGCAACCATGGAGAGACTGACGATTGAAGGACAGGAAACTATAACTATGTTAACATGCTACAGGTTAACTATGTTAACATGTTACAGGTTGAGAGATTAAATTGTTAGCAGATCGGTGGCTTTCGGGGGTTCCACTTTCTGGACATCCTCAAACATATTCTCAAATGTTTGGCGATTTGGGATCTACCTGCATCTACCTGCAAAACAGACCTGACTGCCCCAAAGTCATCACATGCTGTTGGTTGAATGATACAAAGCAATGCGCTGTGCTTTGGTACGGAATATGCAGTGCGCTGGGAGCTTGTTCAAGCACTGTTGAAAAATGTGGGAGCTGTTCGGTGTTGCAGTTGGTCCAAAGAGTTTTTTGACGAGTGGTTCGTTCTTCCCTGGGCAACTCGGGCTTATGTTGAGATCGTTTTGACATGTCTTTACTGTTGGTTCTACCTACTTCAACTGTTTTTTTTTCCACATGTTCAAACACCTGTAGGATTTGTTTCCGTTCCACAAGCATGTTTGTTTCAACCATCCAACTCGCCACCCGTCTCTTCTGGTCTCCAACATGCGATCCACCACGAAGCCCACCGACCCCACAACGAAGCACACCGACCCCGCCGAGGATCCTGTTGAAGTGGAGAGACGTCTGTGGAGAGACCGACCTCACGAAGGGTGATCACGTGGAGTTCCTCCTTTCGGACGGGTCGGGCCGAGGGCGGAGAGTGCTGGAGAAGTGGCTGGTGAGGAGAAGTGGCCTCCGTTTGTCCGCTGGGTGTGAGGAAAACGAAGGAATGCTGCTGTGAAAACCGTTGGGATTAGAATGGCGGCCCTTGTTGGGAACTGGAAGGGTCTAGTTCGACGACACATCGTTTGATCCAACTGGAGAATCCAACACACGAAAAGGTTGCGAATGGTTGTGACCTATACCAAGGATACACATGTCCATCCGTTTGCAAATTGTGGAGTTTGGTCGACACTCTAAACGCAGTTTTTTTGTAGTGTTTTGCAAGGTTCACTGTTTTTTGCCCTTTTGCGAGGGACATGGGTTTCCAACAGGCCAGCAATTGATAGGGCGGGTAATATCAATTCCCATGACATGACATGACATGACTGGGTCTACATCGATTCTTGGTCACCAAGTCCGCACTCTTCACCAGGACGATGGTGGCCCTAGGGCTCTGGAGGTGTGCAGTGTGTCTGCGCCCAAGCGAAAGAAGCCACCCACCCTGGAGAAAGCCGACGATGCGGTCGAAGGCCAGAAGGAGAAGAAGCCAAAGAAGGACCGGACTGGCCAGTCTGAAGGGTTTCTTCCGTGGAAGGCAAGGGATTTGAGTTATGTCAAGTATAAAGGAGAGTTCATTGGTTCAATGACCTTCCTGCTTTGTCTCTGTGCCATCCAATCTAACAGCTGTTGCAATTTATGTGGATTTGGATGATTTGGGCATTTGGACTCCGTGCTTTGGTTCAATTTCTGCCACAGCCACTTTAGAGTCTCCTGCTCTATTGTTGCCTTTTGCGCTGAATCCCTGACACTGCAAACTGTTTCTTGTTGGAGAATGGGAGGCGAGATTCCTGGGCCTTAATACAGCAACAGCAAGCAAGGCTGCCACGGAAGGAGCAACACACCTACAGCCTACAGCAAAACGACAATAGAAAAGACAACCATTGACCACATTTTCATGAACAAGGATAGAGAGAAATAAATAGAAATAACACATACATATATATATATATAACACGCATCAGTACACGAAGACAAGGAGTTCAGCTGCCAGAGCTGCCAATGTTCTGTTTGCAGTTTGGTGCGCGGACCAAGAATTGTCAAGGGAGCAATTGAGTCTGGACCCGGATGGCAGTCTCCCAACACTCAACACTAATCTCACGGTGCGCGAGTAGCTTCTGGATCTAGTAATGAATATAGAGTCACATCAGCTTCTGGGGATAAGGTTGACATCAGTTTATTCCACTTTATTCCCACTGCACGTTCGATGGGTGGCGAGAGCCCATTCGTTACGATCGCCAGTGCAGGATGAGCTGAACGCTGAGAGGGCGCCCGAGCTGGACCATGAGGCGAGGCTGTGTTCGTTGTGATTCCCTGACAATCCCCTCAGGTCATAAGATATCATATGTCACCCCGAGAAGGAGCCAGTTTGGGATTAATTGGAGAGATTCACCGGATGCACTTTTGTTTTTCACTTTGCGAAACACAGAGGTGTAAGCTGCACCCTGAAAAAGATGGTTGGCAGCACAATGTTTCGTTGATCGCTTTCAAGCACCGATCATGGTCGTCGAATCCAGTTGATTCCGGTCGAAGGAAGACGACCGCTTGTTGCTACACCAGTGGCAGCGCCTCGTTGTGTTTCACTGCTTGAGCAAAGCATTCGCAACAGCAAGGCCTTGGTTGTGAAGAGGTACATCCTGTGGTGCTTGGCATTGGCGTTGCAAGAAAGTTACAATCTCCCAGTGCACAAGGAACATTGTCAACAGATGACAAACATATTTTCAAGTATAACAGGATCGGAAACGACCTTGACTTTGAGAATGAACATGCAACATGAATGGCCCGGCCCCGCAACCTTCAGCCTGCAGTATTTTTGGCAATGGGAACTTTTAACTGTCACATTCGGACACATCATGTGCTTTGGGAAATATGAAATGACTGATGTTTGTCACATTTGTTCTCTACCTTTTAAAATTAATGCAGCATGATGCAGGATAAAGTCGGATTTTGCAACTGCACAGGACTCCGCAACTGGGATTCCGCAACTATCGGATTCCGCCACTGGGGTTCCGCAACTAGGCTTCCGAAACTAGGATTCCGCAACTGGGATTCTGCAATTCGGATTCCGCAACTGGGGTTCCGCCACTGTTTGGATTCTGCAACTTTCAGGATTCTGCAACTAACTATATTCCGCAAAGCAAAATCACATGCAGGGGTGGGGTGGGGTGGGTGGACAATTGCCGGCGTGGAATTGCAAGCCAGGCCACGCAACCTCAGGCCCGAAGCATCCATGACAGCGTGCACGTCCCACGCCACGTGCCTGGATCGCCTGGATGCCTCCGCCGATTCCGCAACAGGTCAAGCAGCAACCACAGGGCCCATGAAAAAAACATGGCCCCAGCATGCAAGCAAAAGCAAAAACAGGGGTGGGTGGGAATCTCAGTTTTAGAACACCCTTTGCTGGAATTTGACTCTCTCGTTTCATACGACTGTCCAGAACCCCCAGTTGCGGATTCGGATTCTGTCCAGTTTCAGAATCCGACTGGTTGGTCTTTGGACTCCGGCTCCGATTGGTTTTTGATGCAACATGGAACTCACACAGACCCAAGCTGAAAGGTGAGTGGATACCACTGGACCAGGGTTGGAGCGGACCACCGCGGAAGTGCACCTTATGGACGCAAACTGCACTGATTTCCAAGACGCAGCACTTCAACAAACCCATGCAATTCAGATTGATGTGGAAAAACATGGAAAAACTAAGTTCTGAGTTCTGAGGCCACCCTTATGAGTACAAGTCAAGTTGGTACTTTCGTGAGGCAATTCTGGACCTGCCACTTGTTCAACCATGTTCCACCCAGAAGATCCTGGGAAGAAGATTGCTTTTTCCCCCCAACATCTCAACATCGGACCCGCAAGCTCTCCACTGAAACCGAGAATCTCCAGCTGCGAATCTCCGAACTCCGCCAGGAGAAGCTCGCCCCTTTGCTCCCGGGCTGGGAAGAACACTTCTCAGAGGAGACAACGAGACGCACACCGGAGACGCACAACGAACGACTGGTCTTTGACTGGTCAGTGACAGTTGACAACGTCTCTAAGTGTTATACTGCAGGGTCTATCCATTTAATGCTGTATCTAGCACGCGTGGGGAAACCCCACCGCGTTGCCACCAGGACTTAATAATGATGTAGGGACAATAGAAGTATGGGGGGGGGCCTGCAAGTTGCAGGAGAGGACACGGAGGGTGCATGATGAAACATGCATGATAAGCAAAGGTAACTTAGAATGTGTTGCTTATCGCATGCAGTTGTGCCATCTGATCTTAATTGTTTGTTGAACCAACGCTACATTTGACGTTACTGAGCGCATAACCCACCGCTGTGGGTCGATTCCATTGACCGAACCTGATCCAGTAGACTCCTTTATTCCTCTATACTTATACCCAGTCTGTGGAAATGGTCCCAATGGTCTAGATACTGTCTAGATGTGTTAGTCCTAAAGAACATTCAACAAGCGGCGAACAGTTCGAGGACTATGAGCAGCCTTACTACTGGCACCAGCAGAGCAAGCAGCCGGGTGCACCCAGAGATGGCATGGGTTTGTACATGGAGCGATGAGCCACCAGCAATGCTGAGTGACCATGATGTGAGTAAAGGAATTAGCATGAATTAGCGAAACTACTATAATACATACATATCATATATCATATATATATGTGTGTCTTCCATATTTTTTTTTGTTAATTAATCAATATGTTCATCTGAACGCCGCTGTTGCCAGAGTTGTTGGGGCTGAGTTCAATGGATCTCCTTATGACTTATACTGAAAACCTCTCCTCGTCACGTGGCTCAACACGAGATTATTTGAAACAGGATCCTGAAAGAATCGACTTTGACGAGTGGATGGCACATGTTCACGACTTTGACCCACAAAACGGGTGGGACGTCCCACTGAGCGAGATGGGAACGTCTTTTGGCCGAGGATCTAGGGCACAGTCGTCACAAGGAACATCAAGGAACAAATTTTGGTGCAAACAATCTGGGACAAGGTATTTATATTTCTCTTGGACAACTACGGGTCAAGAAGCTAATTTGCGCACCATCTGTGACAACCTGAGAACTTCATGTGTAGATCGATCGGTCCACCCCATCAAATCTTACTTGGCAATACTTGGCAGACATTTGCAAAATAGGTATTATTATGTTCTTAACATGTCATAACATTTGATAACATTTGTATATATTTGTATATTATAGCAACGTTAGGGCAAAGGGATTCTAGCGATGCCCAATTTCTGTTGCTATTCTCCTTCTTCGGGTTTATCTCAAATCACGGTTCACTCAACATGTTCACACGACTTGAATCGAGACCTCCAAAAGGCTCCAACAACCTGAAGCAGGAGAGACCTTGGCAGTGAGGTGGAAATATGTGGACATGCAAAAAAAACACCTTTTGTGGGCCAGAGAACCTCAATAATGGAGTCGAAAACCGCATCTGTTCCAAGGTCTTCCTGGGACAGGCCCTCGGTCGCCAAAGACCAAGGCGAGCCGTCGAGTTCGCCGTCGATTTCGCCGTGCGGCGTTGTTTGGTGTTTTTGGGGGTCAGACCTTGGCTCGGTTGGCGCAAGAAAAAAAACTAACACAAGAGGTGGAAGATGGTGGAATGGCCTTAGGAACCTCCGGAAGACTCATCATCTTCCATGTCCATCTCCGACCAAAGCCTTTGAAGGAACCTGTTTTGGTGAAGTTGTTCATATGGAGTCTTTCTCCAGGCATCACGTGATATATAGAACATAGAAATATATTGTGTTGTTTTCAATATTATAGTATGATTAATATAGAATATAGTAATAATACATGGTGTTTTTGCTTCGATGTTACTTCGATCATTGTCACGTCCACAGATCGCCGGAGTTTCGCCACGATGTGCCATGTGTTATCGACTCTGAGGCGACGAGCCCGAGGCTGGGCCGAAAGGGGAGACGACTCGGGGCTGGAGACGACTAGGTGTGTGTGAAACAAGGAGTGTGTGAAGTGAGGAAGAGGTTGCTGGTTTGTTTTTCTTCAAGGTGTGTTTGTCATATGGTGTTTTTTTTCTTTTCTGGATTTGAAAAGCACTTGAAGAGCACAGGCTTGACAGGGAGATCAGTTCATTCGAGAACTCCAGCGTTGAAGTCGGGCATGACAGGGCCACTGCTAACACTTCAAATGTTTCTGCTTGTTGGCGTAACTCGGTGCAACCAGTTGTATCAATGTGTGTTTTTGTTTTGTTCAGAAAACTGTATGCTTGCTAATAGTTGCTTGTTAGAGTTATTAAAAGTCTAATGATTATAGACAGTAAAAATTACAACCTGTTGACTGTTGATGAATCAACTCCCCTCACTGTATATAAAACTTAGATGGTAAACATATCCATATGAGGGTTTTCATTCGTCCACCATCCACATTCCACACAACGAATGCACTGCATTCGACGACCTTTTCTCACCAAAAGGGTCCCTTCGAGAGAGGCCGTAGACCGCCGCTAAGCTGTTGCGTCGCCAACAGTCCCACCAATGGAGAGGTTATAATCCAAGCGATGCCGGTAGGTCGTTTCCACCAACTTACAATCCTGGTTTTGCTATTTAAGGAGTTTAGATCATTAACATGAGTGCCATGAGTGCAGCCATCAGTGCCACTTCTTCAAAGCAGGCCATGTGGTCAGACCATGCCATGTGCCCAGGCTGGAGCATATATGCCTGTGCCTCAGCCATACACACCACCAATCCATTTGACCAGGAATGTGATACAACAGGCAAGCCAAGCCAGCCAAGCCTCCACCTCCAAGGTGGCCACAGGGTGGAAGAACAAGTTGGCATTCTTTTGCCAAAGCTGGGGCCAACAAGATTGGAGCCAGTGTGACCATGCCGTCCGGAAGTTCCAAGCTGACATCTCCAACCAGAGATCCAGTGGTTCAAGAACCACTTCTTCAGGTGATCCAAGCAAGACCACCTGGTTCACCAAGGCAGAAAACTTAGCCTACCACTACAACCATGGCAATTGGTCAGCATGCCAAGCCATGGTTGATGGCATGTCCCAGGAGCCCCACTTTGCCAGGTTGTTGCTCCACAACAGCTATGGCCAACAAAGGCCAGATTGGTGGACCCTTTAGTTTCACCATGCCACATAGCTTCACCCAGACCCAGGCAGCTTGCAGACACTGGCTGTCAAAAAGGTGAAGCTGAGCCATTCTGGCAATTCATGTGAGCCATAATGGCAAACCATGTAAGCCTTTGTGGCAAGCCATTTGTGCCATCATGACGCCTCATTTCACCAAAGCAAGGATAAAGCCAATGGCTTCCCATTGCGCGCGTAGAGCTTCAGGACTGCTCATGGCTTCACTTCTTCCAGCAAGTTCTCAAACATATTGCAAATGGCTTGACTAGTTTTTTTTTGCTGCATTTAGTACTATTCAACTTCAAGGAGGCCAAAGATCAAACACACAGATTTTAGAGCCATAGCCATGGCCAGTTATATATATAACTATATAGTCATGTAATTTCCATCAAAAAAAGAAGCTACTTAACTTATGTTAACTATGTTAGTTAGTTCCTTATAACAAAGCCAGGATTGTAAGAATGGTGACGACCGAGATGGTATACAGTACCCAGAAAACAGACCAGTGAATGCCGAGATGAAAGAACCCAGAGGACTTAGGACTAGAAAAAACATAGAAACACACTCATATAAGTTGTTATATTTTGTCAATACCAACCAGTGACTGGTGGTAAGCCGTCGGCTGGAAGATTCCATTGCCCCCATGGCCTCTAATCATCGATATCCATTTCTTTACGGGTTAGCTCCATGATCTGTTAAACATATGGGTTTAGAACAGGACAATAAGCCATTCATTGACTGAGCCAGTCCGATCGCTTCAGAGGTGACCGGCAAGCCGCTTCCGGCGGCGTTTGTACAGAACTCACATGCCAGGCGGGAATGGTGTTCGGTGTCGTCGTCCTTCTCCTTTTGATCAGCGGTAAGACTTTTGAGTATATGATTTTGGGTAATGCTGTGGTTGTAAGAACATATGGGTCATTGTCCAGACAGTTGACACGGGCGGGAGGCAGGTCTGTTGGACGGTGGACCAGCATGTTCCACTTGTATGCCATTCTTGGAAGTCGGTTGGGGGGCGTGGTTGTGGAAGTCGTGATTTCGTAGCTCCACAGAGCAACAAAGCGCAGCTTAGTCCAAATCGGCCACAACTTTGAAGCACCCCTTGGTCACCCATTACAACCAGGGGATTTTCCAAAATATCAAGCATTCTCTCAAAACCAAATTTGGCCACTCCGAAAAAAAACAGCGGCCAAAGCGACAGATCCGTGACTCTCCCAGCGCACAGGCCACCAATCGTGACGGTGCACACGAGGCCTGTTGAATCCCTAATTACTTGCACGATTTTTGACAAGACATCAACATACCCAAAAAAAATGATATATGTGGATTTTTCTTAAGTTTGTTTGGAGGATTGGCTTCCCGACTCAACGCCACTCAAATCCAGACATGTGGAAAGGCTAACCCCAACCGTTCTTTTCCACGGAAACTGAGGGAGTCAGTCAAAAAGACACAGCCATGCTGTCGTCGTTATCTCTTCTACTAGGAAATATATTGCATGTTTGTTGGCCCAAGTTCAATCTCAAGCTTTTGTGTTTTTTTTTCAACATAACCCCTGGCCTACTGGGTGAAGTCATTTTGGCGGAATCGGGTCACAGGGGGGGTGTCATTTCTTTTGCTCACAGGGTCAGTCATTTGAAGTAGAGATCCGATATCTAAGAATCAATTCGATGCAGCGGAAGACAGTGGAAACCACATGAAACAGCAAAAGTGTTGCCTGGAACGTTGAAGAACTTGAGTTGCGGAAGGTGTGTCTTGAAATAAGGACATTCTCCCATTGCTCTAACATCAAATCACCAATCCAGTTTCTGTACATCTTCACTCTCCCATGTCGCGATTTGAGATCAGGACCTGCCCCGAATGAGAATCAGCGTGCAGACTCAAACATTGGGAGCCACCTATTGAAGACCAGTCGCCGTGTGGCAGAACCATCTTTCATCACTATCCACCTGCCCAGCAACTAAACATGACTTGCTGGATCGCCCCGCCAGCTGACGAGAAGGCATGGTCTTTTTCCATGAAGTAGCAACCTTAGGACCTCGGCCGGAACTCGGCCGAATCTCTAAGGACGAAACGAGCTGTGAGGTGTAAGTTGCGATTTGTCCTCCCCCCATCCCAGTGAATATCTTTTGCATTCTTTTGCTGGCACCCCAGCCGTCGCAGCCGGAGGTCCTTTCCCAGGCCACCCCCCTGGGCTTGGCCGGCGCCGATGCAGAGACCAGCCGAGCACCACAGCCGGTTTCAGACCATTGGAGCAGGGCATTGCAGGGGTGGCTTTGAGTCCCTGAAATCATGGGCATGCCGACCCTCCAGACATCCCTTAAAAACTCCTGGTCTGTTAGAAGATTGAACGAAGACGTTGAACGAAGCCCTCGCCCCCCTTCAGAGAATAAAGAACGGAAACTCTGGGCCGAGATGACACGAATATCTCTTGACAGAGTGCATATACAGATGATAACAGATCAGTCGTTTGAGCTTACATCATCTTACATCTTGAGTCGAAGAGGGAGTCCCATGGGCGAACCTCAGGTGGCACACCTCGATGTTCGATCTTCTCAATCTTCTCAGGTGGTGCTTCGACCCCGCGCGTTGGCGCCGTGGCACGCCCCGCTTCGAGGCTGCTCCCTGGTTTGCGCGACCAGGCAGAAGCTCCAGACTCCTACCATCCACGTATTGAAGAGTGATATGTCCTCATTTAGGATGACTTGGTTTGGTGGGAACTCTTCCAGATGATATTTGATTTCACTGATATAACTTAATAAGTGAAAACATGTTTACTCATGTTCACCCATAACTTCCTCCTTTCGAGCGGAATTGGTGACCTGAGATGCGACAGGCAAACACTAAAGACAGTCTAAGCAGCCAGTGGACATGAAGAACTACTTACTGTAGGCCAGCGCTGGTCAATGTGTTTTTCCCATTTTGTGGGATGGCAGTTCTTGAAATACACGTGACTAAGTGGCACACATTTGTTGGGAGATCATGGGAGTGATGCAAGAGGTGAAAGGAACAAGACAGACTCTTGCACTTGCCCCAACATCTTCACAGGATCTTCACATCCACTTTATATCATTTCACCGATCTTAGAGCTCACCGAAACCGGTTGTGGCGTGCTCCACCAGGTGCTCCACCCAGGCCGAGTGGCAGGTGCGCAGAGTTTTTTTTCCACAGCCCGTGACGGGCCCGTGAGGGCCGAAGAGGTGTTTTTTGGACGATGTTGGCGCCATCCAATTCGGTGCGGTTTTTTGGGTGTGCACAAGCAGTGCAACTTGTGGAGACCCCTTGGAAGATCTTGGAATAAATAGTTGGTGTCATGTATATCCAAGTACCCTGGAAGAACGGGGTTCCTTGCTTGAGGTGGACGGTCCAGTTCTTTCTTGGAAGGGGTGTGTGTGTGTGTGTGTCCCACCCTGGACAAAGGGTCTTTCACCACCACTCTTTCCACTTTACACAGGCAGGGGGCGACAGAGTCGCTGCATGGCTGTCGCCAACGAAGCTCCATGCAGTTGACTAGGATATCACGGCTGATCACCGTGACGTACCCGCCACAGCAACTTTTGACCACGCTGTCTAATTGGCTTTGTTTGTTTCCATGGTTCTTCATGCTATCACCCCCAAACATACTCGTCCCCAGCAGCTGAGCCGCCGATTTGTTTGCTGCCGCCTTTGTGACAACAATGTTAAACCTTTCAAGTGCTCGGACCCATGCACCTTTCTGTTCTCTCACCTTCCTTCCCAACGTGACTTGCGTTAACTGAAAACCAGTGTCAGAGTGTGTGTTTTAAAGCTCCTTGGCTTGAGACTTACAGAAATGACCGTCCTCTCGACAGGTGTTTTCGTGGTGTCTCCAGGACCGTGCGTCTCTGGTCGAACGTGCCAGTTGGATCCTGCATGGGTCGCCTGTCTCTTGCAATGGACAGGCACCTCCTTCTACATGAGGCAACATGAGGTATACAGTGGTATTGACAATGACAAGGACCTCTTTTTAGGTGTCTATGTTTTGGACCAGTGAAACACTAAAACCGTTCAAAGCTGTAAAAAAGCTAGACCGGTGATCCTCCCCTTCAACGTGGGACAAAGCACCCAGCAGACGACCCTTCAGATCTGGAGGCCTTGGCGCTGAACGGCAGAGGCAGATCTTGGAGGGATGGACAGTCCGCAATCCATAGAAACGGTGTTTTCATCTCCAGTGATCTGCGGTTTCTTATAGAGACCCAGCTTGGTGTTCGGATGAATTTGCGTGACTTGCGGGATGAACTCCATTCTGGGCCAGCATTTATGTGTTGTCCATCCCCTTGGATCCCCTTGGCACCTTGCGATTCACATGAGGCATGAGGCAATTTTGGTGTCTTTCCATCTCCATTGATCAAAACAGCAACCCTGATGCAAATGGGCACTCGGAGTCGTAGGATGTTTGGATGCGCTCGGGACCCTGAAGGTGTGGGTTTCAACAGTCTTTCAAGAAAAAACAGGGTTGAATAGTAACATTAAAACCCTTGATGATCGCAGATGTGCAGTGTACGAACCATCATCAGTACCATCATCATAAATCACACATCCACAAAGGCATTTTTATAGCCGTCAAAAATGAACTCTCCACAACACTGGATGTTCACTACCCCCCTCCACACTGACATGGATTCTGAAGATGAACTCCATGAGGACGATTTGCCTCTACAACCCAGTAGTCTTCATGCTTCAGGTCTCTAGGTGCTCCAAAGACTGCGAGGTTTGGGAGGTCTCGGCAGGACCATGCTCTTCCCCTCGCTGTTTTTTTCTGGTCAGGGCGCCCTGGACATCCGCCGAGTGCGGATGTCTGCTTTTGGTGCCAGCAGAAAAAAAAGAGGTGCTGGTGCATCGCCTGAAATTGGGGCAAGCTTCCCTGTCGAATTTTTGTTGATTCACTGCTTGACCACCTCCGCATTCTTCGGCACTGGTTCGGTTCCATCACTAGTTCTATCTCAAGGATGGCCCCGGCTGCACAGAATTCGGAAGGGGTTGGAAGGGGGCGTTGATTGAAGCTGGTTTGAAGTTGGACCACCACGAGGACCCCAATGGATCTGAAAGTCCATTCATTGATCCATCAAATGCGTTCCATGATCAATTTGGTCACAAACCCCCGCAGCCGTACGTCACGGCAGCTTTTTGAAACGCCTGGCCCTATCCGCCGAAGATGTCCCGGTCGGAGCCTGAGAAAGGCTAGAGTTTGTGACACGCATTATATAAAAAAATAACAACACATATATATATAATTATATATATACACAATCAGTATATACACGCTGGTGTGTATGCTGGTTCAAACATGCATTGACTAGCAGTCGTTGGCAACGGAGGTTGATGATTGCAGCCGGGCAGCTGAGTGGAGAACAGACTGGGCGACATGGGCACAGGACATGAAAACGGTCAGTCTTTTTGAGACTTGGTGGTGGTGGGTGAGAAGAAATGACTGATAATTATATCGATCTTTCTCCAGCTGCTTTCAACTTTCATATGAAAACACCACAACATGTGTATTTGTTGGGCCTTCATCCAACCTTTAAGGGTGTGAACTAGGTTGGACATTCATTTCAGCTTGCTTCGGCAAGAGAAAGTTGTTCATCACTGCAAGTTGTTGCGACGTGTTGGCTGAGGAGTTCAAAAGGCACTGAAATGCAACTTCTTAGGCCAGTATAAGATCTTGAAAATCGGTTCTGAAACTCAGGTGGTACTTCTTCTGCTCCTTCTTCTCTACACAAGTTGACAAAGTAGGACAATGACACATGTGTTTTCAGATCTATCTATGTATCTAACTAACTATCCATCGATCCATCCATCCATCCATCCATCCATCTTCCTGTATGTGTCGATCTAAAATGATTTATTTGTCTAGTTATGTGTCTATCTCTATCTACTGTATATCTATATATGATATATCTATATCCGTATCTATCTCTCTCTATATATATATATCTATCTATCTATATCTCCTTATTTGTCTATATATATACACCTATCTATACCTATTTTTACATATATTTATCTATATCTATCTATACCTATCTATCTCTATCTACATCTATCTATCGATCTCTATATCTAGCTCTATGTATCTATCTATCTATCTATCTATCTATCTATCTATCTATATATCTATATATCTATCTATCTCTATCTCTCTATCTATCTCTATCTATCTCTTCTATCTCTTTCTATCTCTATCTATACCTATCTATCTCTATCTACATCTATCTATTGATCTCTATATCTAGCTCTATCTAGCTCTATCTAGCTCTATCTATCTCTATCTATCTCTATCTATCTATCTATTTATTTATCTATCTATCTATCTATCTATCTAGTTGTCTATCTAGTTCTATCTCTCTATCTAGCTCTACCTCCATCGATCGATCGATCATTATCGATCTATCGATCTGTCCATCCGTCCATCCGTCCCTCCGTCCCTCCGTCCCTCCCTCCGTCCGTCCGTCCGTCCATCCATCCATCCATCCATCCATCCATCCATTTGGACCATGGTCATCCAAGGGGCCATCCACGTACCCATGATCATTTTAGGGAGCATATATGTCTTTTTGAGCCATGCGCTAGAAGTCCAGTTCAACGATGTTCCGAAGTAAAGGAGGATTCCTTTAAACTGGTCGTCTTGGACCCGTTTAAACATCGTCTTGGACTCCCAGCCCGTTCCGGGCGGTTTCCTTTCGGTTTCCTTTCGGATGTTCCGGGCCGTGGTCGAGGCCTGCGCGGTGGCCCTGGCGGCTCGCTGGGCGCCCAGCTTTGTGCCAGGCCAGCATGGGGTTGGATGGTGTGCTTTTGCAACGTGTTGGCAACGTCTTGGGTTTGAGGGGATGTTGGGGGGGTTGTGGTGACTTGTTTGGTTTCTTCGTTGTTTCTTGATGTGTCAGTGTTCATGTTGTTTTTCTGTTTGTTGTCCTTTCCATTCGCTTTTGCTCCGCTTCTGAGAACGCTGCAGCCAAGCAAACCAACCATGTCTTCAAGATCGTCATGTTTGCCAGGCCTCGGGCTCCAGACCGTGCAGACGTTGGGGCACCAAAAGCCAGGGGGGTTCGTGGGTGTCTTAAAAGTGGTTCTTGGCGGTCAAGATGAGCAGTACCTACTAGGGTTTTTGTTGGGGAATTGTCAAGAGTCAAGAATTTGTCTCCAAGAGCTGTCCAAAGTCAGGAGCAGAAGAGGTACCAAATTTCCAGGCAGAATCCAGGAATTCCAGATTCGTTCTAGGTGACAGGGGATTCATAGAAGAATCAGAAAGATCTTGTGATTGTGGTCCCATCTCAGAATCTCCAAGTCCAAACAATCCAGGCAGAGAAGTCTGTTGGTTCTGTGCTTCGACTTCCAAGGCAGAAGACCTCCTATGCCGGAAGCACGCAGAGCATGTCCACTGGAGCCGGGGAGCCAAAGACTCGAGAGGTGAACTGGTCTGAGCGGGTGGATGGGGATTGGTTTTGAATACAGAACTGGTGGCCATATCCCCAAACCAGATTAAGATGGATCCCCCAAACCCACTGGGTTGTAGAGGAACATGGCCTTCAATGGGTCAATTGGGTCCATTGGGTCCATTTCAGTCTGTAGGTGGGGGTATTACCTTGCTTCGATTTGTTTCGCCCACGGTGCAGTCAATGTGTATATATGTATAGTCTCTCATAGTCTCAGACCCTCGATACTCCTAGTCCATCAGTTTATGAGCGCTTCGCACATATGAGCGCTTCGCACATATCCTTACTATTTAAAATCTTTACCCCTGTTGCAGGGTAGCAATTCTGGAGGTCATGGAAGCAAGAACAGCTGCCAAGGATGCTCCAAGCATTCACAGATATGAACAGGAGCAAACAGGATAGCTGGTGTTAACAAACAAGTGTGGAGATCATAGGGGATTTGTCGTTTCTTTTGATATTCTGAATTTTCTATCAAGGATTACTAGGATTAGGAATGCTTTGATTACCAGACGCAGAGAGGTTCTTGATCTTTTGTTAAAAGCGTGTGTGTGTGGTCGTATTGTTTGTTTTTGTTTGTGTTGTCGTTTTCGGTTAGGGCGGATCAGACTGCTACAAATGAATTATATGTTCTATAGGTGCCATTCTCCCATTCCGTTCCATCAAGACGCACATTTCATTGGCCCCAGGTACGTTTTTGGGGGTAAAGTTTAAAGGCCAATCTTCACAGGATTTGTCCTTCGAATCACCCAAACACAGCCCGACAGACTCCACCGGAGGGTTTTCCCTCGCGGCACAGTCATGCACCGGTCGCACGGGCGTTTGGCGTCGACGGAGTGGGAAGACCAACGGAGTCCTTCATCGGAGAGTCCTTCCAACGTTTTACGCCACGCCACGCCATGGCGGTCTTGGAAGTTCGGACTGGGAAAGATGGAGCTTCGTTGAGGTTGTTGTGCATGTTCTTCCTTTCGATAAGGACTGTATATAATATGTTCCTTCAGTTGTTTTTGCACGTTTTTGCCAGTATTTGGTCCAGGAATGTGCATCCATACTCCCTGCTCGCTGGTGATGAGCTTGGCACAGTATTGCAAAGCACGCGAAGACCTACCCAGTCAGTGGATAACCATGGATAGCCTTTAACCTCTTTGGAAATGGTTGTCCTATGGTGTCCCCAATAAAATCCAACCGGTGGAAACAGGTTAGCCTGTATGTTGCAGGGAAACTGAGGGGGTCAGAGGATGACATCATTGCAAATTAAGACCATTTTGAGATGATCCTAAGACATCTCGAGGAAGACATCAAGTTTGGCGATGGTACACTCCTGACAAACCCGGTACCTGAACTCATGAAACATCATGAAACTTTAAAAACAACATACGCTCTTGAAAGCAGGTGAGACAAACCCGCGCTCCATGCTGGACAGACAAACCCCCAATAATGAAAAAACATGTAAGACACATCTTTCGTTTGGAAGAGCTGCTTAACTCTTCGGCTACGGCTACACCACTTTTTTACCTTCACTCTCACCGTATCTGCCATATCTCACCATCACCACTCAGGCCCTTGCAGGGGTGGTGGCCAGCACGGCACTGCTGGGTGCCGGTGCAGCCGTGGCGAAGAGGAGCCTTGTGGCCAGGCACAGCCGGGCGGAGCTGGTCCTGGCAAAGCCTTTCGATCAACACGAAACCCTGATGTTTGAGTACTGTCAGTGGATGAACCAGCTCTCCCAGTAGGGTCACTGACGCTCACTGTGTGCGCGCCATTTTCTCCCACCACTCTCTCTTCCTGAGACTCCAGCTATGGCGGTCCTTCCCACACGCGCGGGCACCATGTAAAGGATCCCCATCTTTGGTCACAATTCCATGAGAGAAATTCAAGTCCATGCGTGTGTGTGTGTGTGTGTTTATTTTTTCCTTTGCATGTCCAATAGGTTAATTTGATTACAGGCCGTATACGGATGTATACGCTTTCTGAAAAAAAATAACAAGACAAAAAAACAATAAACATCGTTTTGGTGCGCCAGCGAAGTGGGGGAGGAGAGGGGAGGAGGGGTTCGTGTCCAAATCATCTCCCCGACGAAAACCCGCTCCCACGGCTTTTGTTGCTAGACCTTATTAGGGGCATATTATATACATTATAAATACAACATTATATACAACTGTATACATACATAATTAGTAGTAGTTACAAAATACATTGCTTTAGTGCCCTTTTACATAGTTTTCTTTTGGGGGGTGCGGTGCCATATCGGGGGGAAGTTTTGTGGGGCGCCGACACGTTCATGCTGCCATGCTCGCCAAGCACGGTCATGGGCCAGGCGCTCCCACGCAGTGAAGATCTACGACACCTGCATCGGCGGCTTGGCATGCTTCAATGTCATCTACCACACATGTTCCTCCAACAGGTCACCATTTGCGCTTTTTTGGTCTTCAAAAGCAATCTTTTCGGAGACCTGTTGGAGGGTGTTGGCCTGACTGACCTTTGAGCAGAACTGAAAACCTGATAAGTGAAGAGTCAGAAGACCCAGTGCGGTCCAAATGAAGCAGACCCTTCAATGGTGCGGGGAACACCTGGACCTTCGTGACTCACGCACATACAATATAATATATATATATACATAATACATTTTGATACAATAATCTGTGTAGTACAAACCATGTTCAACAAATACGCAGTCAAAGTGACCTCCAAAATGATCTGAGAGAATCGCTAGCTTTGCTGGTGTGTTCGCCATCCTGCGCTGTCCTGAATTTTGACACCTTGCTCGAGAATTCTGAAGTGAAGCGCCACATCACCACATCACACGCACCAATGCCATCCTCTACCTGAACACGTACGTAGAATCTTTATCCCCAAGTGGCCCGGCCACTGCAGACCAACGAAGATACGTACCAAACGGCCGATCCCCAGGCTGCACCTTGTGCGTCCGCGCCTGCCCCACCGACGTGCTCGAGCCGGGAGCGCCCAGAGGAGTCGTGATCTGAGCCATTCGCTGAGGAGGGTGATGCCCTCCCGGAATCTTGGTTGGGATTGTTTAGTTTGGTAGTGCCCTGAAAAATGACGCGAGGAATTTTTATCCTGACGAGTTTATTTAAGGGATCAAACAGGTTTTCGGTCCACCAAAAACAATTGCACAAAGGACCACGTTAAGAGTGGAGATCCATTGGATGGATCGTGGACAATGAGAGTAACGTTGGATGATCCTACCCAGTCAGTGGATAACCATGGATAACCGGATAACTTGGATCACCTTCTTTTTCGAGAATGACCACCCCCACTCAAATCCAGTGCCAATCACCGGCGGTTAGGGAGGTTCATCTCTTCGTGTTCCGGGAGTCAGACGATCTGGCGCCGGTGGTGTTCGCCCACAACGGGTGCCACGGGGCCGCAGCTTGGGATCACAGAGCCGCGGCTGTTCGTTTGGGGCGGCTGGGTGGTTTCGTTGGCATCTCCACTGAACATCCTAAAAGAAACCCATAAGTTCAAAGCCCCAATCTGGCAGCCTGGACTTCTCACACCGTTCCGTCTGAGGATGGTGCCGGCCACCGTGAACGCCGCCAAGCAGGTGGCCTCCTCCCCCCGCGTGGAGGCATGGATTGGGAACGTGCGGTGCGGAGCGGAGCGGAGGATGGAAGTCGTTTTGAGCCAAAAGGGAAGGCATGGAGTGAGGACATTTTCATTCAATTTCTTCATGTTTGTTATTGTGTTGTTTGGTATGTTTGTGTTTTTGGTTGTTTCAGATTCTTTTGTATGTTTTGACTTTTGGTTTTGGCAATTGCTTGGGTGCAGTTTGACTTGCGCTACTTTCTGATGGTGTCGGTGTCTCATATGAGTTGTTGGGTCATGTGAGTTGGTCATATTCTCCGTAGCGTATGTAAACTGTATACTTACAAGTCAAGCGATCTTAACAGAGCGTATAATTGATCAGATCCGAATCATTGGAAACTCCGACAGTACCAAAACGGTGGAAAGTCAATGTGTTAAACAAACTGGCTGTTAGAAGATTCACTGTATAGGTCTAAACTTCCATTAACATTCATTGATGCACGCCCACTCATCCTCTGCCAGTTGACACTGGTTAAGAAAAGTCTTAGCAGCGGCATATGTATACGGTATCATTGATTTTTGTTCCGGTGTTTTCCCTGTGTCAACCTTGATGTCATTTCACTCACACATCAACATCACGACATTTGCACACGCGCTTGAACATGCACTAGAATTTGAGAGTATTTTGGAAGAGTAGAGTATTTGGAAAACATTTACTTACGCTTTATCAGTGCACACTACGGATTTAGGAGATGAAGCCTAGGATAGGCACGAATCTGGTGGGCATCCGAGCTGAACAAACATCGGATCTGTAAGTCTAAAGTATGCGACAAGCCAGGACACTTAGAGCGTACCTGAGGCGTCGAGCCTTTTTTCAGGCTTGCAACCTGGAAAAAAACGCCAGGACTGCGTGGGCTGCAAGCGCTGTGAAACCGCATGCCCCACCGACTTCTTGAGCATTCGTCTCTTGGCGGGTCCGACCCGTCTCGGACGGGTCAACTCACGGTCATCCTCTACAGCTATTGATGGGGAAGCGCTGGTTTCTAAGATGGCACGAATGAGTTGCTGAAACTTCACATTCACTCACATCACTTTTTGATGATTGCGAACACCCGGGATGACCAGGGAGGCTTATGAATGACCAGATGCAGTACTTGCAGTCTTGCGGAGTTTTCCAGGTGCATTTTGTGAGATCACATTGGACGAACAAGAATGTGCAGGGAGTGCTGCTGATGTGTTTGATTTGGGGATGAGCAATGCTGCAAAACCCAAGTGGTTTGAGCAATTGTAGCCGAAGAACACTAGTTTCTAGATGTTTCCCGGGGAACAATTGGCTGTTAGGTTATTTTTGTTGTGTAGAAACTAGTATACAGTATATAGATGTATATAGAGTGCTCAGTTCGTAGTTAGTTCGCCCAAACCAATCGCAGAGGCGAAGCAGAGAATCTGCAGCAGACTCCGCTTCCCCGGGCGAAGCAAAGAGAGAGAGAGAGTGTTGAGTTGTCGTTGGACGACACTCCCCCCGAAGAACCAAAAAACACCGTATGTCGACATGTATAGGTTAGTGTGAGGTGTGAGTATATAGATGGCACAATCCCCAAAAGGATCCATGATCCAAAAGGAGGTTTTATGGACTCCCATCTAAAGGATGTCTTGGGGGTTGTGCCATCCTCTGAAACCACTGTAGTCTTCAAGTGCTCCATGAATTTGATCCTTGGTTGGACTGCCTGTTTGGGAATCCGATCTGGCAAGGCATGGAGTCATGGCATGGTGCTTTGCCATGGGGGTTTGATCCCCGACATTCTATTTTTTGGTGGAAGCGGAGTTCGACCCCTTTGACGATCGCGACCCTGAGGCGTGTACTTGCAGGAGTATGAGGAGACTCAGTACAGCTTGGGCTTGGACTTGGCCGTCCTGGGGCCCAGGAATGGCTTCGCGTGCTTGATCTTTCTGAAAGTCACTGAAGAATGAGGACACCACCTGTCCATTTGTGTGAAGTTCAAGATTTTGTTGTGCGGACTCCCAAACTTGAAGAAGAGCACCACAGAAGACGACCTGATCTTTTCTTTAGCCGCAAAGTGTCTTGGAACGACAGAATGTGTCCCCTATCAGTGCCACTAAGGAATTGATTTTTATCCGGGGGTCGCGAGTCGCAGGGGCGTTCTGTTTTTGAGGATGCCTTTTCGATGCATGGGTTTGCAGAGAAGGACGTTGCTCCCTTTACCGTAGCATCCTTTGCCCAAACAATGCTTGTCAATACGATTCAATTATACAGTTCACTAATCTTGAACCACCCCAGAATCCAACAGGATATGTATCAGCACCTAGCCTTTTTGTGTCCGTGACGCAACCCGACCCAGGACTGGTCCACCTAAGCGTCTGCGGAAACCATCGCAGCGTTGGGAACTGAGATTTTGCCTGCAAAACCATGTTCTACATTTGTCATGCAACACTATGTATACCTAAAGATAAAAGACGAACGATAATGCAGGAAAGTGACACAGCAAGGAATGGTGCAGAATACTGTATGTCCGAGGAGGTTGTTCTTCACCCTGGAATAGTCATGGAAGTGGAAAATTGCCCCTTGGTTGACCATTTTCCTAAAAACAGGCGGCTGTCCATTTCCATGGCCATTTCAGGAAATATACGGTTCAAACAAGCAAAGCAAGTGGAAGAGGCTCTGTCAAACTGTCAAACATGTGCGTTCCTACGTTTGGCTTCCGCACGGTTTTAGCCATGTTTCTGCCACGGACCCAAGGCCTTTGGTCGATTTTTGGAGCCGCAAAAAGACGTCAACGGCGGAAAAGAGCTGAGCTTGAGACCGGCGGAGTATCTCGTTGGGGCCTACATGGTAGTCAATAGGAGAAGGATCGTTCGGGTGTCCCTAAAAAATTGGGACCCTTTTCCTTTGTGGACACAGAAAAAAGCAAAGCAAGTCCAGCCAGCAAAGAAAAAGAACACCTTGGACGGAGAATGTCACTGTGTTCCTTTGTTTGTTGACCATGTCATGTCCGCTGTTTCTTGTCCAAAGCTGGGGAAATAAGGCTGGTGAAAGGGGTGGGAAGCAGACTTTATAGAAAGCAGATGAAAGCAGGGTCGGACATAATTAGAGAACAGCTGGAAAGCCTGGTCGTCCCTGCGCATTTGGTCTCAAAGATTGCTTGAGGATATACACTGAGCAAAAAAGCAACTCTCCCTCTCTCTCTCTAAAGATAAATATATATATATATATGCATAAGTTATATATATAAGTGATATATATATATACATAATTCCAGCAATATACTCCATAGCTTTTGGGCATGTTCATCAATTCATGTTGACTTGTTTCTGGGCAAACCGTGCACCGCCTCGGCGTGGTCTGGCTGGTGAATCCTCAACCCGTCTTTTTGACCAATGAAGTTGGCTGCAGCGCTTTTCGAGCTTCCCCAAGACTGGGCCCTTCTCCAAATGGAATAGTTGTGTTTCAACAAAAACAACTATCAGGTCCGGGTTCCTGCAAATGAGGTCGGGTCCAAAGATGGTTTCTGTGAATGTGTCACCTGCGATCTTAGCATATCTTGGCCACGGTTTTTGCTCAGACATCTTCAGAGCTTGAAGGTTTCAGACATCAAATCCATTGGTGGATTTGTTCGCCAATGATGACCACAGACCACTGCTTAGCGACATTTCCGCATAAGACCCATCAGCAACCCATATCAAAGAATGTACGCTTTTGCTCTCCGGAGCACATTCTGGTTTGAAGTGGCACATGCATGACCAGTTAGTTGACCAACTCGTTGACTCATGTTGATTGTGAATTTCATCAAACACTTGCGAATGTGAACAGAATGGGCACACCGCAACACAGCTGGCTTGCCACAAAGAAGAGGCGATAGTGGCAACAGGAAGGCGGGGGGGAGGCTGCCAGTGGGGGAGTTCATTATATATGTAGTAACGTGACCTTCGATTGGTTTTGGATGCTCATTTTCCAGTTTGTACCCAATTGGGCACACATCATCATACATTTATCCTTGCTGATTGTTGTGCGGATTGTGCGGGCATGGAACATCTCACACTCAGGCAGATATGTTGCGTATGAATCAACCTGGTGTTTGTGTGTCTATGTGGATACAGATGATGCAATGGTTGCGTTATGAAGTGTTTCACTTGGGTGGCATGATCCTTGATCAAAGAAACTGTGGACATGAATCGGCCCGTCTTTCATGCTGCAAGTCTTGAACATATATGACCGTCCCGTTTGATATCAGAGCGGCTTGATTTGATTCGGAACAGTGCAGTGCCCACGTATTTCTTGGCAGCTTGGGATTTCCTCCAAACATAGCATCGAGGGTCCCAAGGATCTAGTCTACTTTGTTTGGGTGCCCACCTCGCCTGCAGCTTCACGTCAGCTGCAGGAATAATGCAGGTCGGAACAGACGATGCTTGGCTTTGCTCCCATTGTGCTGGCGATAAAAACGATTTTGTACTGCCGCCTGATCTAGTGTCATTAGTGTCATTACACAGGACATCATGCAATCATGCATTCCAGTAGTTTTTTGGATCATTGGGTTTTGTATGGTTTTGTAATGTTTTGTACGTTGCAATTGTACAGTTTAAACTTACTTGCTCCTCAAGATGCGTAAACATCAGGGCAGCTTGACCATATGCACCCCAAAGCAGAATGGGTCGAAAGACACTGGGCAAGCTCGAATTTGGACCCCCAAACACAGCTCCAAACATCCCCAGCACTTTGAATCAATCCAAGCACCGGTTCACACGCCACCGGTTGTGGGAGAGACGCATAGCCCTTGCGTCTCCTCCGCCTGCTTGGATGGCCCGAGCTTCCCCCGGCGTCGCCCTCCGAGGACTCGGTGGTGGCCTTGAGCTTCGACGAGAACTCCACGGGGAAGACCTTTGCCGATACCAAGGCGCCGTCAAAACCCACCAAAAAATCACCATTGGGATGATTTGAGCCTAATATTTGACCCATCTTCCTCCATCTTCCACCATTTGGCAGCTGAACTGATCGGTTGTGGATCTTTGCACCTCGCCCTTGGCCCTCGAGTGGATCCTGGTTCCGTCGCAAACACCCCGAGTTTCTCGGTGTCCGATGATTGGTTCCGGAGAATCGGCGGCTGTGTGGCAGGTGCGGTATACCTGGGAGGTCTCTGTTGATGGCAAGGTCCATCGGTGTGGGCCCTGTGGATCGGGATGGGATGGTGGGAGCAGCAGGGCAGCTGGATCCTGTGGATTTTGTTTGGGACTTGCTGCTTCATGCTGGTTCCATGGGAAGCGAGTATAGATTCATATAGATTCTATAGATTATAGTATAGATTAGTCATTGATAGTCATTGTAATCATGGGTCATTGGTCGTGCTGTGGACTTCAGATTTGCTGCAAAAAGCACATGGGACATCATTGGACGGTTTTGAGTAATGTTGGGTCTTAAAGAGTAAAACCCTCCCTCCCCCTAGAAATTGTGTTCCCTCCCGCTTGACCTTTTTTGGATCCGACATGAAGAAGAACAGCTTTCTGCAAGCAAGTTATAACTTATAACCCTTTGCTTTGCTCCTAACAATGCTATATGAACCCAGCTTCGCAACCCAACAGCGGGCAGCAACTCAATTGACTGGGACTCTTTAAGCAACTCCATCTATGTGGTTGCTAAGTGCGTACGTACAAACACCCACTGCACTATTGGTCCTACTAAGCATTCCTGCGTAGAAAGAATGAATCGAAACGGAGGCAGAAAGCACACCACAAGTGCAACAGCACTGAAATGTCCTGCTGAGTACATGCAACTGCCTGTGGCCGTGCTGCACATAAAAACTGATCTTTTATCCGGGCATAGAAAGAATGCTTCGCAACAGACACAAGGCACACTACAAGTGCACACACTGTTGGTGCACAAACGTCGTGCTAGGTACACGCAACTGCATGTCTTTGCTGCGCAAAGAACATATTCTACGGTGTGTAGAAAGAATGTTCCGCAACGCCGGCAGGAACCACAAGTGCAAAAGCTGTTGCTGGCGTGGAAGCATCCTACTGGGCACGTGCTGCGTGCAAAGATTACCTCGTAGCGGCGACAAAAGGCACACTACAAGTGAAAGAGCTGTTGCAGTTGCAGAGACGTCCTGCTGGGCGCATGATGCTCCTTACAACATTCCAAAGCGGAATCATTGAAGACAGCACCTGCCAGAACCAGCGTTCCAAGGTGGCATGCACATAACACCTGAAAGCACCTGACAGCACCCAATGTTCCAACTCCAGTGGCTTTCGACAGGGTTCCAAGGTCGCATTCTGAACACAGCACCCAACAGCACCCAAGGTTCCAAGGTTCCAGGGTAGCACCTCACAGCAAGGGCAACACAACAGCAATCAGGGTTAGGGACAAATTCCGAATTTTGGGCGTTAGTGACAAACTGTGCACCACTCCCAGCCCTGACATTGAAACCCAGCTGCATTCTATGGGGCGTGTTCGCACCAACCAACAAACCAGTAAACACTGTGGGGTTGATATGACATGTGCCATGGTGGAAATGGCCCTAAAAAACAGCTGTTTGACCATACGCCTTGAGTTGCGGTGGAACTTCATGGTTTCCGACACCACTGGGCTCGCCCACAAGTTCTCTCGGTTTCTTGTTGCACTCGGAATAAGGTCGGTTGGATGACCAATTTTCCCCTACAAACAGATGGCTTTCCTGTTTCGCAAACGATTCAGGGAATGGAATGGTTTCTACATGTGCACGGACTCGTGGCTTAGACTACAACATCATGTCCGACCTCGTTGAACAGTTGAACGAAGGCTAGGGTGACTTTTTTTTTGCAGGTTGGGTCCACCGACCCAAGATGCCGGATGATGTCAGTGGATAGGGTAGATAGGGTGGCCAGTAGACATCCTTGTGGACAGACCTTTTCATCTAAGGATTGAGTTCACCAACACCAAGTCGGGATGCCCAGAAGGGTATATGGTATAGCAATTATAGCGGTATAGAGGCGGGTTTTATACACCCTGCTGTTCCGACATGTTCCGACAAAAAATCATCCACCATTCAGGAGATGGAAGACACTTGCGGAAGGCATCTTAATTAATTGTATAATGGTTTTAGGTGGATGGTTTGACAAACGTGGTGCAAGGCTTCACATATTATTTGGTGGTGGTTGTTTTTGCTCTCGTTAGGTAGATTGTTTCTGACCTCAGTCCACTGTGAAGGCCAATGTCAGACACCAGAGGTTTGACCCTGAGGTGGAAACCCAAGAGGTATACAGCCACTTATGGTTTTCCATGAGGGTCCAATTCGCTTGAGTCTTGTCGTGTCCCAAACAATTGCAGCACATGGATTGTTTCGTCCTTTTGAAGGGGGGCAAAGTCGGGGGACAGGTTTTGGGATTGTCTCCCGCTTCTCTTCCTATGAAGACATTGGGCACCAGTGCATTGGTGTTTTTTCATAGGGGAGTCCCCTGCAAAGGAATTCAAAGACTGAGGTTTCAACATGGGTTTGAACATGTTTCACTTTCAACCCCTTGCTTTGGCAGCGAACTTTCGACGAAATGATGGCCATTCGTGGCCACCTTCGACCGGACTGAGTCCGAAACTCATCCAAGATTGTCCAACCAAATCGGCATCGGGGTACGATCGATCCACTCAGGGTGTTCCATGTTTTCACCACTGTCGTTTTGGGCAAAACTTTGGGTCCCCAAACATGGTCGGAGATGGTCCAGGCACGAATCCCAACTCCATACTAGCACAGCTTTAAGTGTGCATGCCAAACATGTTTGTCCAATTGCACAAACCCAGCTGTGGAGATTTATCATCGACTCATTGGAAGACCCCATGAACCTTCGACCCTTCGAAGGACCTCCGGGAAGAAGCGCATCTTCGTGGACGGGCGCCTCCTGCACGAGATGACGGCCTGGAGGGGGCTGGGAGTGTGCCCATCAGACTCAGTGCAAACCACTGC